CCAACTGTTCCACATCCAGGAACCCTTTTGACATTTGACTGCATCAAGAATGGAACCATTTGGGAAGTATCTGTCTTTGAGCACTCTACTGACAAGGAGATCAGGGTTTGTGGCCACCCTCCATAACTGCTTGCATATTAAAGCCTCATTGAAGAGTTTGATGTCCGGAAATCCAAGCCCTCCATTTGGTGTTGGGAGTGAGATTAAATCCCATCTCTTCCAGTGTATGCCTTTGCCATTGTCATTCCTAGATTGCCACCAAAATTGTGCACACATTCTAGCTATGTCATTGCAGAGTGTAATGGGAAGCTTAAAACAAGACATTGTGAATATGGGGAGTGCTTGAATCACTGATTTGATGAGAACCTCTTTACCTGCTGGTGTGAGGAATTTGGATTTCCAGTTCTGCAGCTTACTATTGAGAGACTGTAAGAGGTAGTCAAATACCTCTTTTTTGGACCTTCCAATGCCAAGAGGGAGGCCCAAGTATCTTGTTGATCTGTGAGGTGTAATGCCATGAAGAACAGTGTAGATATTGGTCTGAAGAGACAGTGGTGTGTTTCTGCTGAAGTAAATTCCAGATTTATGGAGGTTTACTTGTTGGCCTGTGAATGATTTGTATTGATTTTGCAGTGAGAGCAGCAGATTTGCTTGATCAGTTCCAGCATGGCAAAAAAGTAAGGAATCATCCGCAAAGAGGAGGTGTGAGAGAACAGGGCCATTCTTTGACAGTTTGAAGCCTTTGAGAAGTCCTCTAGCTTGAGAATCCATTATCAGTGCAGATAGTAATTCAGCGACAATGATAAATAGATAGGGGGATAGAGGATCCCCCTGTCTAATCCCTCTGGTAGGGATAATATAGCCACTGATGTTACCATTCACCTTAAAAGATATTGTAGCAGTAGGCACATAGACCATGATCAAATTGACAAAAAAAGCACTGAACCCCATTTGTAACATAATCTTCTTCAGACTAAGCCATTCCACACGATCAAAAGCTTTCATAAGGTCAAGTTTGAGAGCCATAAAGAAGTGCTTACCTGTTGTGTGCCTGTTCAGGACATGGAAACTTCTTGGGCCAGTATCACATTGTCCATTAACTGTCTTCCCTTGATAAAAGCAGACTGATATGGACTTATGCAGTCATCTAGGCATGTCTTCAGTCTCTGGGCCAGGACATTGGAGAGAATTTTGTAAATTACACTGCAAGGCTGATGGGCCTGAACTGTCCCAGGTTTTCATGGTTTGGTGTCTTGGGTATGAGAGATAGGATTGTATGATTCCAGTACTTGAGAAGAGCTCCTGTCTGAAAAAAACTGAGAATTGCAGCCATGATATCAGGTTTAATGAGACTCCAGAAGTGCTGATAGAATAGTGCACTCATGCCATCTTCTCTTGGGGTTTTCTCAGGGTGCAAGGAAAAGAGAGCTGTCTTTACTTCATCTTCATCAACTGTCCTGGTGATGGCTTGGTTCATATCTGATGTGATAGTTGTTAGAATAAGGTGAATAACAGAATCTCCATCCCAACTCCCTTCAGAGGAGAAAAGGTTTACATAATAGTCAGATATGTGATTTTCTATGTCTCTTTGAGTGGTAAAGGCTATGCCTTCAGGAGATAGAAGTCTTGAGATTGCATTCAGTCTTCTTTTCTGCATTGTATATGCATGGAAGAATTTAGTATTCCCATCTCCTTCTTTAAGCCATCTTAATCTGGACTTTTGTTGCCAATAAAGCTCTTCATAAGTGTGAGCTTTTTCTAAGTCAGCTCTGGTGCTTTCCCATGTGTCCCAATCAATGTTTGGTCTATCTGCTCTGAGTAGTTCAAGTTTTTTTGAAAGGATATCAATTTGCTGTTGGTTTTCAGATTTGGACTTGGAACTCCAGAGGATTAGTGCAATTCTGGTATGCCTCACTTTTTCTTTAAGTTTGAAAAAAGGAGTGCCAAAGCAAGAAATTGCCCATGCTTTCTTAACAGTGTCTGCAAAACCTTCCATATTGATCCATCTCCTGTCAAAGTGGAACCTGGTTTTCCTTCTCTCAATAGTCTGCCCCAAAGTCAGCAATATTAAGGAATGATCAGAAGCACTTTTTATAATGTTTGAAACAGTGGCATTTGGAAAGGAAAGTATCCAGTCAAAGGAGGCAAAAGCTCTGTCCAGTTTCTCTTCCACCATTCCTTCCTCAGATCTGAGATTACACCAAGTATACTGATAGCCAAGCATTTTGACCTCTTCCATAAATTTACATAATTTTTGGAGGTCATTTGCCTGGGTAATTAATTATTTTCTCAAATCTGCTGAACGTTGTAAAATCCATGAAAAATCGAATTCTTGATGTTAATTCATGAAACTTGGTCAGAGTTCTTATTTGATATGATATTTGATAGTGTGAAAATCCCAGAGATGTTTGAATTCACTTTGTTGAGGTTTTGTTAAAAACTTGTATTCTGCTGAAACTTAGAATAATTATCATAATTCGCTTGATTATTGTTTATGCATGAAATTTTTATATGACACTCTCAGCATGCTATTGTGTAAATGTTTGTTTGTTTTAGTTGTTTAAGTAGCGCCCGTTTAATGTTAAAGTTTTAAGTTGGGATTTTTTCGAAAAAAAATAAACTCTGATTTTTATAAATAAATTCGGTAAATTCTTTAAAATAAAACGGGGCGTTACAGGAGGACATGTAATTCTTTCTCCAGGATAAGGTGCGAAAAGTCTCACGGTCGAGGGAACTTGAATTTTCTCTCGTAGAATTACGATATCGGCGTCAGTCAATATACTCGGTTCCCCCTGATTTTCGTCAATAGGTTCAGGCCACCGCCGAGCTGGCCGTCTCCAATATCCCGCCAAGGACATAGCATTCGCCTCTACATTCTTATCCTACTCAATGATATCTTTGTTCAAATTCAATCTTTTTACGAGAAGGGGATCCCATCGGTAGTACTCAAGAGGTAACTCTAAATTTTCGTCATCAAATATCCTACTCTCTGAGATCGCACGACTACTACTAACCTCAGTTTGAGAAGTCATTGTTCCGAGAATAGGACAAAGAAAGAAAAATAGATGCTAGATTGACAAATATCAAGCGAAGAAACTAATTGGGGCAAATGCTTACCAAGAATATCGAGAGCCCTAAATTGCAGAAGACGCAGAGGAATCGCACAAAATAAAAGTCGAAAAAGAAAGTCGAAGTGGTGTAAGCACAAAATATCAAAGTGAGAAATAATAGATTGAGAGAATCGAAGGTAAAAAGTTTTCGCACAGTCGAAACCAGCAACAATTTATAGGTTTTGATTTATGACCGTTGGCCAAACCCGGGATCGGCGCTTGTAACGGACGTGTTCCCAAATGGCACAACGTTACAGTAATGATTAATACACGTGGGCTAGTCTCAAAACGCCATGTCGCTCCATGATTTTATCCGTTGGACCCATTAAATGCAGACGCGTCTTTTAAGAATTGTCACGTCAGTTTAGACATTACACAAGCATCAAGAGAGTTGGTGACCAAACCAAGTGTTCTCATGTCGGTTTCTAAGTACAAAAAGAGTCGGCAAACAACCAAGTCGGAATTATTACACATATTAACGACATCAGCAGCCATTTTTGAAGTTCAAATACCCACTAATGTCGGGGGCCTCTCTGTTGATGACCGACTTGGTCTCATATGATTAGTTAAAAGCTAATCATCTTATCTCGTTAATAGCCCTTCAAAAAGAGCCAAACTTAGCTCAAGTCAGTACAACCGAAAAATTAACGATTGACCGACAGTTCATAAAAAATAAGTACCACCGACTTTACCGACTTCGCTGACATTAAACAATATCTACTTATCCGATATACAACAAAGAGAAGATCGAATTTCCAAGCAGGAAGTGTTGTACATTCTTAATTGGACCAGCAAATCAAGGAATAATCATTGATGTTCCCTAATTCCCTCCCACACCGCTTTATTGAAGCTGCTCAACATTAAATGCAATCTTATCTACCTCGGACAAAAAGACAAAAGTAACTGTACTATAAATAGCAGAATTTATGATTGTACAGGGATCTTTTTCCGCACATTGTACACGGACTTGAAATGATCTCGGTCAAGAACAAAAAACCGACTTCTTGTACTCTAATGAAATAATCAATAATACACAATTTTTCCTTTATTTTCGTTTAAACACACCTTGCTGTTTGTTAATTTGAGTTGTTAATTTCATACAACAACATAATTAGATGCCTAATACATCAAGTATCGTATCAGTCGTGATTCACAATTTTTTAACTTTATATGTAATTTTAGAATTTAGATAAATAATTATTTATTTTTATTAGATTGACAGCTACCAATTAGATTTGAAATAAATGCCATTTTTAAAAGAATACATACTAATTTCTATTACTTTATAGTATAATTTATAGTTTTATTTGATATAATTTAATTTAGTTTGATATAAATTTAAATTTTATTTATAAGGATATATATTATTGTTTTGTATTTTATATATATGGATGGCAAATCGAAAATCGTTAAACGATAGTTAATTTGATATATCATATATGATACAAAATAGTTTAAGGTAATTAATTGTAGAAGTAAAGAAGGAAAAAATCAATCATGATTTAGTGTGATAAAAAATATTAATTTATATCCAAGCCTAACTCCAAAGCATAGTTTTTTGCCAAATAGGATTCCGAAGCATGAGAGTTTACCACGTATGCTCAGCGCATTCTTAAATTATATGAATTCCGAAGCATGAGAGTTGCCACGTAGCTCAGTACATTCTGAAATTATAGATAGAGAGAATATTGATAGGATATTTAATTATTATATTACATAATATAAAAATAAATAAAATGCCCAATCTATATAAAGTTTTTTTTTTATCTTTCTTCACAGATTCTGACGTGGCATTGAACGATTGGTTGAGTGCCCGTCTGGGACGTGGCTCGACAGGGCATTAAGAGATTGTACGTATGACCGTCTTCAAATGTACAACTATAAACCGTTATTTTGTTAATTTCATAAAATAAAATGCCTTGTATATTAAAAAAATCTCAATTCTTTTTCTGTTGCGCGTTAATCCTAAAACCCTCTTTCTCCGTGTGTGCAAAATACACACACTGAGGGTGTCGCCGATCTGCGTGTTCGAAGTTGAGGATTGGAGTGCGTGAGAGGAAAGGACAGCCATTCCTCGTTTGAAGGTCTTCTTGAATTTTGCATTGATTTACGTTATTCGAAGTGCGTTTCTAATTTGGGAATTTGAGAAAATATTGATTTTTAGAAGAAATAAAACAAAAAATATTGATTTTTAGAAGAATGAAAACATATGGTTCGTTGTTGAATTCAGGAAAAAGAACTATCCCTCCAATAAATAATCGGAGAGATATGTGGCATCATCTTTGTGATTTAATTTTCCGATTGATTGGGAATTTTTTGTTATGCTCTGGATGAAAGGATGACAAACTAAATTGCTTGATTAAAAGATAAAATTTTGTTTTCTGAATCACTTTACCACGATAATAATGGTTCAGATTGTATATTTCAAGCAAAATGTGGAAAGCAGGAAAGGATATGCTATGATTGCGTAAGGGATCTTGAAAATATCTCAACTTGATAACTATTTGTTTTTCACTTACTGAGGTTTTTGATGGTGTAGCATTTTTGACGCAATCCGAGGATTGCTCAGATATATCAGGGTTTAGGATGAAGAACAATGAGCGTATTGCTAATTTGGCTCTGGCAGGTAATTTCTTGTTCTGTATCACGGTATGAATTGTGTCTTGGGCGAAGTTAAGTTCATATTCCCCATACTTTCTCTGCTCGGTTTATGGCTGTTTTTTCCACTCCCAATATTTGTTCTAGTGTGGCAATAGAATATTGATGTGTTGTAATAGAATATTGGTTAATGGATTTATCTGAACAAATCAATGTATGGCATTTTAGATCTGTAGTTAAGCCATGATCAGTGCTGGCTCCAGGGGGGAGGGGGAGGCAGAGCAGGCTCTTAAATAAATGAAATGACCTAATTAATGAATGATTAATGATTAATGACTAAATATTAACTTAGCTCATTACACAAATAAAGATGCTAATTAATAAAGGACTAAGGGCTAATGACTAAATATGGACTTGGTCCACCACACAAAGGAAGAAGGTAATTAATAAAAAGGCTAATGGTTAAATATGTAAATCGTTTGTGGATTTGAAAATCTAAATATTTCATTTGTTTTCTTATGATGTTTGGTATGAATAATTTGTATTAGAATAATTATTTTCAGTGATACTATTTTTTATTTTTTATCCTTAATGTCCTCGTGACTGCTTCAATGTAATTTATTAAATCTCTCTGTAAACTCCAGAGATAATTTATCATTTCCAAGATCTATTTCAGGATTGATGAAAAACAAGAAAAAACATTTCTTTTTCAATTATTTATTTATTTAGCTTGTCTTGTTGAATTAGCTGTTTTTTTCTTCCATGCTTACCACACAAATTCAAATTGGGAACTTCGAAAAAAAAAAAAAAAAAAAAATTGTCTGGGGCCTCCAAATTTCTGGAGACGGCCCTGGCCATGATGCAATTAGTTGATATGATGCCACCATTCCCTTATAGCTTCTTTAGATAAAATTTCTCTCTTTATTTACTTTCAGACTGGCCAAAAGACACTTTGTCTTTTTGTTTATGTCTGAACAGACTTGTTTTTTTAGTTTTTGCCCACTTCTTTTTCCTAGAGGTTCTATGTTCCTCTCTGATTTATGACTTGTAAGAATATTCAGAAACATGGATGATTTATGCAGTTTATGTAGTGTATAACAGTCTTTATTGATTGCAGGATTGACCCTAGCCCCTCTTGTTGTAAAGGTGGATCCAAATTTAAATGTCATTTTGACGGCTTGTCTAACTGTCTATGTGGGCTGCTACCGCTCCGTAAAGCCAACCCCGCCATCAGTAAGTTGAGCTTGTAGATCCTTTTCAGACAATCAATTTTTGTGTCCATAACAATGTCTTTAATCTTTTCTTTTATGTTACTATTTTTTGACAGGAGACAATGTCAAATGAACACGCCATGCGTTTTCCTTTGGTTGGGAGCGCAATGCTGCTGTCTCTGTTTTTGCTGTTCAAGTTCCTATCAAAAGACTTGGTCAATGCTGTACTAACCTGCTATTTTTTTGTACTTGGGATTGCCGCTCTTTCGTACGTTCATCACATGATCCTTTTGTAGTATTTTACGGGTTTTGTTAACTACTAGAGAAGTACACTATAGTCTATACTATGATGTTCGTAAATTCATGTTCCTATTAGCGAAGTAGACTACACTCACGCTGTTTGTATTTTTATCTTCTTATGCTTTGTCCACTCTGCAGGGCCACACTTCTACCTGCTATTAAACGGTTCTTGCCAACACAATGGAATGATAATGTCATTATATGGCGTTTCCCTTATTTCCGGTGTATGTTACCTGTTCATGTCACATCATTTTGTATTTGCAGTTCTCTTTGTGGCTACTGTTCTCATAATATTATAGATTATAGATGATGCTATTAGGTAATTCTTTTCTCCATAGGAAATTTTACATACATGCTCTGTCCAGCATGATTCAGTTCCTTGGTGTGTTGGCCATAATTGTCATATCTTCACTGATTAAAAATTAACTGTAACTTGGTGTTTCACAATTTGAAGATTTTAGAGGGTTTTATCCTGAAAATAAAAGAAGTTTGGTCAGTTTATATACTTGGTTAACTTAGTATCATTGCTGATATAAGAAGGATTGAAGAACTTTAGATTCTTTATAGACTATTTGGCTTGTGTTGTCAATGATATTTAAGTTCTCCAGCCGTTCGTCCGAGCATTTTCTTTGACTTGCTGGACTTGTTGCTGCTTGTAGTACGGAGAATGATATTTTTCTCTTTGTTGTACAGCTCTGGAGGTTGAGTTTACTAAATCACAGATTGTTGCTGCAATTCCTGGAACTTTCTTTTGCGTGTGGTATGCTTCAAAGAAGCACTGGCTAGCTAACAATATCTTGGGTCTTGCATTCTGCATTCAGGTTGGATTACAAAACAAACTTTATTGTTTGCCAATATCCCACCATCTTTTGCAGTATTGGGAAGATGCATCAAATCAATCATACCTTAAAATTCAAACTTCTATATAAGCGACTTACTCTAAAATCATTTGTAAGTTTTTTGTAGAAACGACTCAAATGCCTGTTTTCATGTACCTTCTCTTTTCAAAACAATTTCAGGGAATTGAAATGCTTTCACTCGGCTCTTTCAAGACTGGTGCTATTCTCTTGGTGAGCGTGAAATTCTTGATTTTGAGTCCAAATTCAAGTTACTGTATTAAAAATGATGTTCCTTCCAATTGCAGGCCGGACTTTTTGTATACGACATATTCTGGGTCTTTTTTACTCCAGTTATGGTTAGCGTTGCAAAATCTTTTGATGCTCCCATAAAGGTTACACACTTACATGACTTTGTAGCTCGGTGATTATGACTTGTCATTTATCGTGCTCATTCAATTTTTCTCAAAATATTCTTTCTTCATTTTTGCAGCTCTTATTTCCTACATCAGATGCCACACGTCCATTTTCTATGTTAGGACTGGGTGATATCGTTATTCCTGGTATGAACATTAAATAAAAAAGTTTGATTTATCTTGCAGTACAGATTTTTATCTGTTGTTTCTCCACCTGCTAGGGATATAGCATAATTGGGAGTGGGTAATGTGCGTATGTGATGAAAATCTCTTTCACTTCTTTTCTTTTTAGTACTTGAAAGAGACTTGTGAAGGATAATTACAAAATGTACCCTTCATGCTTAACATAGTTGAAGAATTGCTGTTACCTCAAATTATTCAAACTTCCGCTAGGCCCTTCCCCTTGCCTTGCTTCCAGTTGACATTTGCATGTTACGCCCTTAACCAACCATGTTTGGAACCACTTTATAGAAACAAAATCTCGAAAGATAGCTGCAACTTGTCTTAAATGAACTGAAACCCTATTGTTTTTGGTGCCCGTCCTTGCTCCCACTTGAGGTTTGTATTTTTTAACAATTATCACCATATTGAAGGGAGTAATTTGTTAAATATAAACATAATCTCGAAGGACTCTGCTGCTTTTCCTAGCTAGTTAAAATTTGAGATTGTTCGTAATTTATAACTAGTTGTGTTGGTTAATAGTGCTTTTGTTTTCCAGGAATCTTTGTGGCATTGGCACTAAGATTTGATGTGTCCAGAGGGAAAGAGAGCCAATATTTTAAGAGCGCTTTTGTAGGATATACAGTTGGCTTAGTTGCCACAATTATTGTGATGAACTGGTTTCAAGCTGCACAGGTGGACATTTTTCTCGTAAATTTCGGATTATTTAATGCTAGGCCTATTTTGTTATCTGAGTTTTCACATCCTTTATTCTTGCAGCCTGCACTGTTGTATATCGTGCCTGGCGTCATTGGGTTTTTGGCCGCACATTGCTTATGGAATGGTGAAGTCAAACCTGTGAGTTTATTCAACTCTTTGATATTACTGTTTGTAATATTTATACTCTTTTGTATAACTATGCCCATGTCTGCTGTGCATAATGTTTTAAAGCTCAGATTCTATGTATATAATTGCCAATCATGTGACTTGTTTTTGGAACATGTTATCCCAACTATCTGGANTAGCCTATCCAGAAGACGCAAAGAAAAGCCATATCAACATGTGATTGCTTATGAGAATTATGAGGAAAAATAATTGCTATTAATTAACCAACAATTATTTTTTCCCACACCAATCACATCCAACTTTCTGAAAACAAGTAATAATCCTAATCAATTATACATATTTTCACAAATACACTCGTGATTTTTTTTATCACCAGCTGTACATTTGTGCGAGTACAATATAATTTGAATTGTCCAACTTTTTTCACCCTAGAGTGTTGGATTATGATTTATTTGACACGGTGCTATCCTTTTTGCAGTTATTGGCATTCGACGAGTCTAAAACAAGTATCACTGAAGAAACTGATGAAGATTCGAACAAGAAAGCAGATTGAAGGGAAAACGTAGTTTAGCTGAAAGTTTCAAGTATCACATTAAAAGAATGTTGATGACAGATAAAAAGGCTTTTCAGATGAGAGACTAACTTATGCACACCAGATTTGGTTTTATTGTCAAATACATATATGAAGCCTATTAGATTTATGAATGAGATCTCGTCATCAGTTTGATATAATTTTATGTTTGTCTGGGTGTCACCCGTTTTGCTAATGTAACACTATCACCGTTTCCAGATGTTTCATAACATATGCGAATATTATAGTCGTCCATTTAAATTATGTTTACATTTTGTAGGGGACAATGGAAACAAGAACTCGGTAACTGTTATAATCACCACCTTATATTAATTCTTTTTCAGTAAATAATTTATATGTTGCAAATAGTAGTAAATTTTAGATACTAGACAACATAAAGATCCATCTGTGATTGGAAAACGCTGAGCAATATAGTGAAACTGAGGGGAAGACAAATGCTCAGCCTCAATAATGACTAGCAGTGTTTGCAAGAGCAAAATCTGAAAAGATGCCTAATATAACAAAATAATTTCCATCAATTAAAATCAAGAAAGAACACAAATGCTCAACGCTCAATAATGACTAGCAGTGTTTGCAAGGGCAAAAACTGAAAAGCTGCCTAATATAACAAAATAATTTCCATCGATTAAAATCATGAAAGAACGATTAAGGGCAAAAACTGAAAAGCTGCCTAATATAACAAAATAATTTCCATCAATTAAAATCATGAAAGAACGATTAAGTGCAAGGCCAGGAAAAATATCTGAGTATGGATAGATTATCATGGTTCTCATGACAAATATCATTGTTTACACTTTACATTATTAATATTGGCTTGACAAAAACCATTGTTCACTGATACTGATAGTTCACCTACAATGCCTTAGCTAACATTGCAAGTTGGCAACGATAAAGTTGAATAAAATGAGAACCTCGAACATCTGTACACAACTTTGCCACCACGTCATACATATTCTGTTCCCACTCTTCACGTTCCCTTAATCCACTGAAGAACTTGTTTCAACACTTTCCTCGTCTTCGCTAAAACTAGTCGGCATCTCTGTTCTGGACCTAAATCATAAAAATAGTTGTGCAAAATTAGTAAAAAATGAAAAAGCTGGTGCTAAAAGAAAGATCTCATCTGGTACAAATTATCATAAGCGTATCCAGAAGCATACTGACTAGTGACATACATTCAGATTTGCATTAATTTTGTGGGTATAAGTGGGTCTGATATTAAGAGAAAATTAAAATAAATTTGTACTTCTCCAGAACAATTGTTTTGGCCCATTTGATATGTCCACAGTCCTGCCTTAATAAAACATCTCTCCTCTATGATGCGAATTTTATTTTCTTTTAGAAGGTTATGACAATGATTTAAACTGTTATTCAACGCAAACTAAATCTGAAATGCCTCCCGATAAAATAAAATAAAAACCCTTCCCCAGATAAACATCAGAATATTAGCCATCTTGGTATCTTCAAAAAATTGGGGGTATTCTAACCGGATATTTCAGTAAATGTTGATTTGAAATGGCCCAACAAAGACACTAATATGCAGCAATTAAAATCATACCTTACAACTTGATACTTGTGTGGTTGGTCATCCACGAATGATGATCTTTTCTGGTATTGCTGCTGAGGGAATTCTTCCCTCATCCGTTTTGGAGCCTACAAATAAGGTGCCACAAATGCAGGGAAAAAGGCATATCAATGTTGCATCCAAATATATACTATCAGAATAGGTCATCATGTAAGCCAGAAAACTTACAGCAAGATCATTCTTGAAGGGAACCGTGACTGGGTTTTCATCTATCATCCTCCTATTAGAGTACATCATTTTTCCATCCTGAGCACATCATTATCAAAACACATAAAATCAGCACCAGAATCACACACAAACAATTTTTTTTGCTCATAAGAAGCAAGTAAATGGGGATACTCACAAGAGATGCCCCTAACATTTAGTCTAATTATTAAAAGAAAACACATTTTGATAATTTCTGTACCACAAACGACACATACTTAATCGATAGAATATGTTGAAAGCCGCAAACCTCAAGCAGGTGTTTGCAGTATTTTATGAGATTTTTTTTTTTCAGAAAAAGAAAGAAAAAAAGTCTCAAAACCTTAAGAGCAACTTTTGCATCTATTCCAAGTCTAACCTTTACAATCTGTCTGGGCATCCCCCTTTCTCCTGAACCGTAATACTCATTTCCTTTCTCAGTCATATTGGAAAACTCGTTTTCCATGGTTTCTCTAATGGAAACCTTTGGGCCTACATCACTATACTTGCAAAACTGAGACTCCATTCGTTCCTTCCTCACTTTCCCACCAGAAGGCTGCAAATTAGAGTTGCCAGTAAAAGAATCCGATCTCATAACCTCTACACGAGACCCGACTCTCACCCCATACTCATTCATACTCTCACTACGTCGTGTTTCTATCACAGAGGTGCTCCGCGGATAATAAATGCCATCGGTGGACATTGATGGAGGTTGTCTGAACTTGTGGTGTGTGTGAGTATCATGAATATCATAGGCACGCCCAACGTTGGGGTTTTCAAAAGCCATGCTGGGCTTGAATTCACGTCCCTGAACCATACATTGAACCTAAATGAGTTAACTCATGGTTTTAGAGAAAATAAAGAAAGAAATAAACTTTTGCTGCTTTTATACACTTCAATAATGGTGTGTATGGGATATGCATGTTGAGGGGAGAACAAATCATACCAACCTAAAGAATATTTCAGTTACTGAAAACCAGTTTCAAGAAGATATAGAAATCTGAATTTCAACCTCTTACAGGACAGTAATGAATATATTCTTCAATATGAAGTACACTACCGTCATGAAACATCAGTTACCAGATGCTAAATCCTAAAGCAAGTTTAACCTTTGTTTTCATATTTTATGCATCTCAAAAAATTGCAAGACTAAGTGCATCATTTCTAACTCATATATGATCACATAACATAACCTGTAGATATGGAATTGCAGATTTGCAATGGTGATCACTTCTCAAGCAAGAAAATGACTAAACATTACATCATTCAATTCAAGCTCAAACAATCTAAAAGTTGTTATGGAAACCTCACCTTGCTGATATTTGGATTCTGTTGCATTTCCGAAACATCAGTTGAGGCAGGGAGAACATCTTCTCCATCATAGTAATTTTCTGACAAGAATGCACATTAGAAACACAGTTAGCTTAACGGACAGCTTCTGTTAAGAGAAGAAAAACACCT